AGTTTTTCAAAATTTGAATTACTTATGTGGTGTATATATATTTATTTAAAATTACCCATTAACTCGCAAGTTAATTTTATGAAGTGTTTTGCATCTAATTGGATTGAAAAATCAATTAGCGTGTGTTTCTTATATTAGAGTTGTTTATCACTTGATATAAATTTGTACATCGCACGGAGGAAAGACTAGTTTATATTATACCAAAAGGAAATTCGCTTTACAAATTACTGGTAACAAGTTAACTATATGATAATCTAAAAATTTCTAGTCAAAAAAAGTGTCTGCTAATTTTCAAAAAAAAATTTCTTAGATCTAACTTATAGCAGGCTGATGTGGCGGTATGTCAACGTGAGCTAACTCATCCCATTTTTACTACGTTCTTTTACTATATACCTTAACCTATTTTACATGATATCATTTTACTGTCTACTCCATGTATATCATAGCATTTACATAATTACATATAATCAAGTCATATCAACCAGCACCATCACAAAATCTTTATATTCTTCAAAAGTTTCAATCCCCTTATCCTCATCAACAACTATATAAAAACGAGTGTAGTAGGTCCGTGTATAAGTAACATGTATAGCTGTTAGGTCCTCAATAATCTGGGCATGTTTGGTTGTTCGGATGATTTCAGTTTCTTGGGAATCCATCTACAATACAAAATATAAAACGCGAACAATAAAGTTCAGTAAATAGGATGATGCAATGATGTCTATCAAGCATATTTGGGCTCGAATCCTTATTATAATGTATTGTGTGAGCTCAAAATAACATGGTCATTACTTGCACTCAAATCAATGTCAATGCATCCGTCATTGCCCATCGAGACTCGGAATGCCGCATCAGAATATAATATATATAAATCAAGGCATGGTCTAAGTATACAGTGCTCCACGCGCCTATTCGTAGTCCCAAGGCCACCAAGGGACCTCCTAATACTGCATGTACACGGGTGCAGAACTCCAAATACCCTATCATTGGCTATGCTTAATGACCGTCGGGAGCCTCAAAGCGGTATATTTATTCAGACACAATAATACGATATATCTATAATGGAATTCACATTTAAAATTTTCAACCACAAACTCAATGAGAATGACAACAAAAGTATGCATGACTTTGAAAACATATTATTCATACGTTTTCCAAATAAACTTAATGTACAAGTGTCACACTACCATGTCACATAAAGAAAAAAATACATAGTTTCACATATTCATGTATTTCGTACTGTAGTTGAAACATCAGTATTTACCTTTTTCGTGACTTTTTTTTTATCAATATCTGCATTAATAAAATAATCTCTACATTAATCATAATTTACCATCTTATTTCCCAATTACCAAACATAAACTAAACCTATAACCAATATCATGATAAAGTTAACAACTATTATACTAAATCATTTTCTATCCGTAGTCCCTTTCTTCTTTAATTACTTCAAACCATTTTTCTTTATTTCATCTTTTTACCATCTTTTCCCTAAATCTCTTTCACACAATCTTTGATAATACAAGCTTAGTAAACTAAACTCTTTTTTTTTTCCTTGAAATAACTTATAAATTTTTAAAACTTTTAGAGTTAAGAATTTGAAATGGAGAAATTATAATTCACCATCCTTGATTTAATTAATTAAATTTAACTCTAATTTTATCTTTCTTCACTTATTAAAGAATCCTAAAACAAGAATTTTAATTTCTACTCATAAATCAATTAAATTACTTAAAACAAATAATTATTTAAATAATTATTTAACTAAATAAATAATTAACTTAAATAAAGAAAGAAAAATAAAACTTACTTGAAGAAAAGGAATGAAAGGGAGGCGTGTCCCACTGCTACATTCATCTCCTATTTATAGGGGATGATAAAGGTTAAAAGTACAATTTCTAGGATAAATATGCAAATATCTCATTTCATTATAAAATTGCACTTTTGATCCCTAGGTAAATATGCAATTACCCCATTTTATTTTTTATAAAATTGCACTTCTAATTCCCACAGTACTATTTTAATTATAATTCATATATACTCTTAATTCAATTAAGTCCCTAAAATTTTTAATTACTTTCTAAAACAATAAAATCTTTGCTAGAGAATTTCGGAATGTTACATATTTACACAGCTAATCACTGCTTTCTAATAAGTTAATCATTTCTAAAATTAAAAAGGAAAGAATCATACAAGGATTTACGGCTAATATTAAGGTAATTTAACACCTCGTACACATTTCTATAAACAAAAAAGGGCGGATCCAAACATATTTCATGAAATTCATAACTATTTAATTTGAACATTGTTAGGGGTACATCACCTCATGCATAAGGGTCTACACCCCTCTCACATGGGGGGTGAGACCCGCTCGAATAAAAAAATATTTATTTCAATAGGTCCCACCCCTCATGTGAGGGGGTGTAGACCCTTATGTACAATTCTTGATGTACAATTAGAATAATTCATTTAACTTTTATCAAAATTTACTAAAAAATTGATTTTAATTTCCATCAAACTAAGCAAAATCACAATAAATTTTAATTTTTCTCTTTTTCTCTCGCATTTTAACAAAATCTTAACTCTCCATCAAACAATGACAAAATATTACATTTTAAATACTATTTCAAAATGTTCACGGTCTAGTTTTCTACGTCGTTAATGGCATAAAAACGATCAATCATAGCAAATGCTACAACTTGTCAAAGTAAGTCGTTCAAAATTAGTATTTCAAAAATTTCGATAATATGCTAATTTTAAAAATTCTTTGATGATCATACGTTAATCGAATCTATCTAATCGAATCGAATCTACAAATTGCTAACTTTCAATAACATACTCACTTTAAATAACATACTAACTTTAAAAATTCTCCGACGATCGTACGCTAATCGAATCTACAAGGTACTTATGTCATCTCAAAGTTTATTTCGAAAACTACATTATAGGCAAATCAAATAATTCAAACAGATATCGAAAATAGTTAAAAATGCGTTAAACGTGAGTTTTAAAGAAAGTCGTTTAACTCGCGTTTTTTAAAAAAAAAAATTCAATTATTTCATTAACATTTATTATTTTTGAAATACAAATTTCTCAATGTAATTTTCATCATTTTATTAGGAAATTTTATATGGCAAATGCAATAATTTTTTTTTGAAATTTTACATCTGAAAAAGTTATATCCCATATAAATTTTCGGATGCAAAATTAGATATGATATGATTTTTTTGGAAATAAATTTTCAATTGTAAAATTTCTCCCAATTTCTTTGTAAGTTCGATTGTGCCCCATAACTTTAAACTTCTGCGTCCGCCCCTGTAAACAACCGAACAAATACTCACATATAAAGGGATGAAAGGGACACGAACACCCCGAATCAATATATCACACAAAAACACAAAATCTCACTGTAAACAAGCCATGTTGGAGAGGGCCATGTCGAAAAAATGGAAACCCGAGATGGTAACAGCAGCAATTTTCAAACAAATCAGCTCGAGCACGGGATCAGATCTCCTCAAAATTTCCAGAACTGTGTCATACTAATTACTTTTCCCCCTTTGGTTGTCCCAACACAAACTCTACATACAAATCCTTGAGAGCTATTACAACAGTAGTTATCAGTGGCCCCATTATTGCTCCCTGCACAGTGACGCAACCAAATTTTCGATTCAACCATACAAGTTTATTAACAATGGATGATGCTTGTGAAATAAGAAAGTGATTTGAGGATATCAATCGGAGAATGTGATGGACATTAAGGTCATAAATATGTGAAATACCAACATTATGCGTCAATTGTCAACAATTGGATGATGCAAAATTGCGAAATAAGAAAGTGATTGAGGTTAGAAATTGGACAATGTGATGGACCATGAAGCACCAACACGGGGAACTTGTGTTCGACAAGACACATGTTGGACACGTCGATACAAGATTTTTCAAAAAAGTACTGACACGACCGTTGTCGACAAGTTGATTAAATTATTTAAAATTCTTCATTTGTACAATATAAATTTAGTTTTATACTTGTTATTAATTTTTCTTGTCAAAATCTTTTAAATATGAGTACCTATTTGTTATTTAGAGTATGTTTGAGCTCCATTTTTTGTCCAAAATACATTTTGGAATAGTATTTTGATGGAGAATGTATGATTAAAAAATAAGGAAAAATTTTGGATTTTTTGTGTAATTTTATTTTATTGAATAATGTATGGTTAAAAATAAGAGTTAGAAAATGTATTTTGAAAAGAATGAGAATAAACAAGGGCTTAATAATAACTTTGAGTTAAAAACATAAAATATTTTTCATAAAGACACAGACACTTTATCCTAGTTGAAGTGTCGTACTACAGAAGACTAGAGTCGTTGGACATCAAGGTCATAAATCTGAGAAATACCAACATTATGTGTCAATTTTCATCTAGAACTGAGCTACAAAAACAGGGCCAAAAAACAGGCCTCGGTGACCGACCCTCACATAGGGGGGAGGCCCCACACATTTGGGAAATATTTTATTCACGCGGGTCCCATGCACAGTGAGGGGTCGGTCCCCAATCCCTGTCCCCAATCCCTGGCAGAGGAGCAAAATCCTTTCATCTATTGGACCCATTCACACGTCTAGTGCATGTTTTATACAAGATACAACTAGATGGTATAATAAATGAGATTTTAGTTTGTTTTCTTCCTCGATACTAGCCAATGCTCCCTATCTAACAAGCTTTAAAAGGTAAAACTAGTTCTTCAAGTATCTTCTCTTAGCTGTGGAAATAGGCTTTGGTAGGGAAGAAAAGGCTGCTGCAAGAAGAAGGATTCTAATTTCACCTCGGAAATCAATTTTGTGCACACGCAGGCAGTTTCGCAACTATTATAGACTAACAGAGAAACATGTGAAAAAAAGTTTACTGAACTTTTCGCTGTTTAACATAACAAAATGAAGAAAATAACGATTTTCCGGCTAAAAAGTTGATAAACCATTTCGTAATGAAAGCTAGCTAGTGACGAATTTATAACTTGTTCATGGACCTTGTTAGATAAAGGATCGAGTGAAAATGTGCAGGTCATTGCAGTCTAAAAGACTCCGTAGCATTTTTTCTTAAGTATTTCCGTACAAACACAGACAGAAATGTCTTCAGGCATAATAGAGAAATAAGTGATAGGCAGAATAATAAGATCAACTGTCAAGATAACTTCATACTTACCTCCAATGCAGACGGGAACAATGTCATGCCGCCAATGATGCTGAGACCAGTAAGATAAGCGTTATAGCCAGGAATATCCTCTTGAATTTCCGTAGTTCCATAGTCCATAAGCACCAGATGAATAACGAATAAGAAGATGGCCAATATATATCTCCCTTCCAAAACCAGTTGCAGAGCAGCTGGAATTGTTGAAATCCAAGGAGGAAATAATGGCAAAACAGAGCTAATAAATGCAAGAACAGTCGACATGAACAAGAAGTGTATCGAGAATAGTCTAAATAGCAGCCAGGTCAGACATCCCTGAAAGAAAGCAATCTCGACAGTTGCTAAAAGAACTCCAGAAATAGCTTTGTCAAGAACCTCAACACATCGAGTCCTTGCAGACTGTGACATTGGGAGCATACACATCACCTGTTCTGTAACTCCACCGGAATCTGACGTGATCAGATAATACAAAACCCAGAAGAAAACCATTGTCTGTGAAAGAAAATTGAATAATTCTGCAGCTCCAGAGACGATGGAATTCGCGATCAATAACAAGAGCTTTGCACTGCCAGCAAGAACAGAAGTACTGCTAACTAATACACTTTGCATCACATTCATTCCTTGAACGGCAAAGCCTTTAGCCTTCTCAACCAAATCCTCTCTAGTAATCAGAAGTTCCCTGAAAATTCCATCCACTTCTTTGAATATTTGCCCCCACTCACGTTCCCTGACTCTTCTTTTCAAGCTCAAAAATTTCTCAGTGTACAGAGAAGGGCTCATCAGGGATGTAGACTTACCTGAGGAGTTTGATGATGGGGTTATCACAAAATGTTTGATCCCAATAACAAGCTCAGTCATGTTGTATTGCATCGCTAAACTATCAATCTGATCAGACACAGTTTCATAAAACTTAGTCGAGTACGTATCCACCATTCCAGGCACATCATTTTCATCCATCCATTTCTTAACACCCATCTTCTCAGCATAATTACTCTCTTCCACATGAGATTTAAGCGCAAAAACGGCATCTTTTCCTTCCAAGCCAATTTTGTACGTGAAGAAAATCATGCCAGCCAAGGATCCCACACTAATTCCAACAATCAACCCTATAGCAACCATAGTCTTCAATCTTTTCAATATCCCTCTTGTGAAAAATGCACTCACCCGGAGCCGGCGAAAGCTCTGACTCCTCAATGACGTAACTGTACTCATTGTTGACTCCACGCCAGTAGCTGTAAACATGAACCCTAATGCAAGAAGTGAAATAGACCCAAAACTACCAATGTGTTCATAAGCCATTACAAACACCAAAAAGGATACAAGCCACCTCAACAACTTGTAAAACCCACTCTTTTCCCTCCTCGTAATATTGGACTTCTTCTTCTTAAGAACAATCCGAATAATCATTTCTTTAATCTCAACAAGAGTCCCAACAAAGACTCTGAATATAGCTACAGGGACAGCCAATATGGTCTCTGTGAGCCCTAATTTCAGTGGCTCGGACCAAAATCCAACAAGGGTCTGTTGAATTCCTCTTAATGGGATTGAACAGAGCACAGCCCATAAAATTGGCCTTAAAAAATCCTCAAGAAGTCTGCAGACTCCATAGAGAACAAATACTGTAAAGGCAAGGCCTGCGTGGGCCATGGTTATGTAGAGGGCAAGACGTACCTGAGGATCATTGGAGAGAGAATTGGCTTCATCTTGAGTTGGTGGCGCGTGTGGTTTTGGAGGAGGCGCGTCGTTAGTTTCCGGTTTCCTAATGGATGCAGATCGGAACATGTCTTGCCACGGCAGTGATGAACTGTCTGGTTCTGATTTTGAATCAGAATTAAAGGGCACTAACTCCATTTAAACAAGAAAGAAAGACAAAAAATCACTTCTCTATTCCTTGTTATCTATTCAAAGAAATGAAACCCAAAATAACAAAAAACAAAATAAGTTCTCGAGTTGAGATTTTGGATTTATGAAGAATATTGAGAAAAAAATTACAAGAACGGAAATAAATGGTGGGAGTCTATTCTGTCACATGAGATTATGTGTTTCTCAATTTCGACTGACTCCTTCCTGTCAGGGTACAATCATTGGAGAGTGCAATTACGTGGGACCTACTAGATGTCGGCATCGAGTGGGACCTACCAATATATTTTACAGGAAGGCTCGTTCCTATTGAGCCATGTAATAATCATTTTTTATAGGATATGCTGTTAAAAATTAATCTAAAATTTGAATTTGCATATAAAATTATTTTTCGTAATACTGCTTCACAATTTTGTTGATAGTATTTGACAGGGGCGGATGCAAAACTTAAAAGTTAGGAGCACCATCGAACTTGTAAAGAAATTATGAGAAATTTTACAATCGAAAATTTACGTCCAAAAAAATCATACCCCAGGTAATTTTACATCCAAAAATTTATATAAAATATGGCTTTTTCGGATGTAAAATTTCAAAAATTTTTGATATCATATTCCATATAAAATTTTATAATAAAATGATGAAAATTATATTGATAAATTGTATCACAAAAATAATAAATGTTTATGAAATAATTGAATTTTAAAAAAATGCAAGTTATGCGTCGTTTTTTAAAACTCACATTTAACATATTTTTAATATCTGTTTGGACTATTCGATATGCCCATAATTTAGTTCTCGAAATAAATTTTGAGATAATATAAGCAATTTGTAGATTCGATTGGAGTACGATCGTCGAAAAATTTTTAAAATTAGCATGTTATCGAAATTCAAATTTATTGTGATTTTACCCCTGTTTGGTGGAAATTAAAATCAATTTTTTAGCACATTTTGATCAAAGTTAAACAATTATGAATTCCATGAAATATGTTATTAAAATTAATTGTTAACTTCGATTTAGATTAAAATTTAGATTTTAATCAATACCAAACACGATTTTATTAAATGAAAAAAAAAATCTCAACACTGACATGAACAATATTTTTGCCAATAATTTTAAATTTAACAACACTTCAAACAACTAATAGCACGGGTTTTTACACTCCATTCAATGTCAAAAAGTTGTATATTTTTATGTACAAATAACATAATTAAACTATTTTATTGATGAATATATAGTTAAAATAAGTTTTAAAAAAATATTATTATTTTTTAAATGGGAGTTAAACAAGGGCTTGGTAAAAAGATGTGATCAATTATCTATTTTTGACCCATATAATATATAGGCCCCTGTTGGGATTTCACAAAAAAGTTTGAATTTTATCAAGGGAAGAATACATAAATCCTACTTTTACTTATACACATTTCAAAATTAGGGTAAGATATTTTACATTTCAAAAATCAGGTTTTTATTTAAATTAATTTATGAATTACTTAATTAATTATATATTTTATTAATAAATATATAACGGTCACAAATATATATATTTTGGTCACAATTCAAAAAAATTTATGTCACAATTTATTTATTGGTCACAAATTAGAAATTTGAAAGTCACAATTTGTTAATCGGTCACGGATCCCAAAATTTACGAGTCACAATACTTATTTAGGTCACAATTTATCAATTTATTGGTCACAATTAATAATTTTTAGGTCACAAAGTAATTTTTTTAGGTCACAATTGACATTTTTTGTGAGTCACAGAGTCTTTCTTAGTCACAATTTCTTATTATTGGTCACACACCAACAAATTTATTGGTCACAATTTGTGACCACCACCCACCANCAAAACAATGCACTCCAACCAAACAAACACAGACACGCACCAACTCAACTAATTCTGTACCTCCACCACCACTCTCCTCCCTCCACCTCCACTCCTCTGCCGCCTTCCAGTCATTCACCATCAACCCGGATCCACCATTGAATTAGGGCTTTAGGGCAGCGGTGATGCTGCTAATTTGCAGCAGCGTGGACGCTGCCCTAATTCGGGTTTGTGAAATTTAAAACCTCAAATTAGCAGCCGCGACGCACCCCACCAGATCTGCCTCCACACGCGCACACACACACACACACACACACGACCCAACCGCCCTCCACAAGAGGACATAAGGGTGCCTTCACGGGAGCGACTGCGACTGCGCCTGCTATTTCGCCGGATTGAAGAGCGAAGTGTGAGAGAGAGGTGGTGGTGGTGCCAGTGGTGGTCGTGCTAGTGGTGGTGCCAGTGGTGGTCGTGGCGGCGACGGGGATAGAGGGAAGGGAGAGAAAATGGGTTGAGAGAGAGAGAGAGAGAGTGGTGAGAGAATGAATTAATTAGGGTTTGAAAATTGATTTAAATAAAAATTAATTTAAAAATTATTAATTAAAACCTGATTTATGTATTATTAAAGATGATTTTGGATTTATGAAAATGGTATTTTAAAAACCTGTGTGGGTGTAATTTCCTCTTTTATCAATCTATTGAGAGTTGGGATTCTTGTGAATTTTACTTCTCAAACTTCACAAGTGTTGACCAATAACTCGAACTTTTTACCTTTCAAAAATAAATGACAAAGAAAAAAGATAAAGATCAAAATCTGTGATCTTCGATTTTGAATGAGTCTTAAAACACTGCAGATTAATTTAAGTTAAACTATGAAATTTAATTCAATTTTTGTTAAAATTCCAACACATTTGCACTTTCCTTCATACGATAGCACATAAGACTTGTCAAACTATTTTTTTTTTTTTTTTCGCAATCTTAGTTAAAAACTGCAGCCCCATTCATTGGCCACGCTACTCATATAGCTGCATGTTAGTTTTTGTTGGGGGAATTGCACCGATACAAGTGCATACATTTTCATTCTACAACATATCTTTATATACGTATGAAAACGAACAAAGTTTCGACTTACTGAAATCGAATATATAAAGACGAGTTCAGGACTTTCCATTCTTCAATGAAGGACATTTCATTTTTTAATTGAAACCTTTCAAATAATCAAAGAGAGTTAGCCTTTTCTGAAATCGAAACACAAGTTAAAAGAAATCAGAAAATAGAAATGCAAAAGATAGAACTGATCGAGGCAAGTGTTTGACACTCTCTCTTTAAAATGAATTTGCCTCACATTGATGCTAACAATTTTTAGCAATCGTCTCCTAAAATACAACAATTGCATCTCACAATAGGAGCACTCCAATTTACGTAGACTAGCGAACTTGAAATGAAATTTCACTCTACCAAGAGCATGAATTCTGATGCAAGAAAACTATGAATTCTCAAGAGTTTTGATACAATGCAATTAAGAATAATTATATGGAATAATTTACAGCAAGAAGAGGGGTCCAATTTATAGAGGATGAAGGGTTGCAACGGGAGAGACATACCCTAAAATTTGGCATTTTTCATAAAAGATCGCTAACCTTCATGATGCTTACCTGGCGTCGTCAGTACTGCTCAAGCGCCCAAAGTAGTGGCCGACGCTTCTCAGTGCCAGATTGCCGCTCGAGTAGCGCCTATATATACTGAATTCTCAATTTTTCTCCTATTTTTGAACAATAATTTTCAATTTTTCTGAAATTAGTTTTGAGTTTTCAAATATATTATGATCATATGCTCGACGAATAGAATAAATTAGTATATTTACTTTCATAATTTGACTATCGGATCATGACCGAATATTTGTTCGAAGTTGATATAAAGTCACATTTTCATGGTTTTACTTAACAAAATTTAACCAACTTTAAATAAAATTTCAATAATCCTCCACATGAATGAAAATACTAGATATGCAAATGATGATATAGACATTAATAGAGAGAGAATAAAAAAAAATCACATCAAGAGAAGTAAATTCTGGCGTTGAACCCTCCTTAGTGAAATACTATTGAATTTACTTGGGTAATTGATAGACATGATGCCTTGAACCATTTACCCGTTGATGTAAGTCATGACAACAATACTCATGCAATATCTTCTCTAAACCGTTTCCTCAAGATTGTGTTCATTTTAACTCTAAGCTACTCTTGAATTTCATAAGTGTTTTAGAGAATTTCAACCTCAAACAATTCTTATAACCCCATTATATACTTACACATGTGACTTCCTATTAAGAGTATTTTGCCCTACTCTATTTGATAAAATCAAGATATGGGAATCATTAAAAACGTAAATTAACATTTTAATACTCCGCATATAACACTTTGATTATCATAGAAATGAGTAAGAATTATTTTCTAAGTGCTTCAAGAATCTTCATAACTTAGTTGTCCAATTGAACCAATATTTTGGGATCTCTAGTCAGCAAGACTAGGTTACCATTACAAAGATTCTAAATTAGTAGGGTTTATTCTCATTTCTTTCGATATGTAGTGAAATATAAAGACTCATGATAAACCTTCTTAATGGATCTACGAGTTTACACCATCTGAGATCAACTATTTGTGATATTGTGTCTATGACATATATATCTAAACTTACCATTACAAATGACTTCGTATCTCATAAAAATAGCTAGCTATCACAATCGATTCATTTAATAGATACAAATGTCACCAACTGAGAAATCATCTCATGAAGTCACGTGCGTCTCACTAGCTTTATCTAAATCTATATCATCTTCTAATATGTTTGGAGGATTTTTAACATATCATTTGCACTAGTCAAACATTTGTACCGGTGAATTTCAAATAATGGGTATTCAATTTTACAATTGAACCAGTATCAACTACAATGCAGTTCAACTTATGAATATTCTTCAAATATTCGAACGATTATTGTTGAATATCCAATACAAATGTAATAATCGATTTTCATCCCATTTATCCACTTTTGACTTATAGTGCATCACATTTGTGAACCATCCTTGAACTTCTAAAATTAGTATAAGGTTTCCTACCTTTTCTCCTTAATAGAAAGTCTTCTATGATTTATAAGGTAAAAAGAATGT